ATATATATATATATATATATATATATATATATATAACAATTCTTTAACAATTTTATTTTTTCTTTAACATTATCAATTATCTTACTTTAAAAATATTACGCATATCATTCATTCCGTACATAAAACGTGCAACGCACGTACTTGCTGGTTCATCAAAAAGCCATCAGTGCATTAAATTCTTATTTGGTGGCCTAACACCAAAGAGAAAAATAAACGTACACGCATTCCATGATAATGAAAGTTTGGATCTTTTTGACACTAGCACATTAATTACCATTTAATGCAACATTAACAAAAATAATTATGCTAAGTCTACATTCTATTCTATGATGCACACTTTTTTTGGCATTGTGTGAAAATTCAAAAAATGTTGGATGGGAAATTTATTTTTTTAAAAAAATAAAAATTTGTCCAATCATGTAACAATACGTGACACAATGTCAAAAATAATGTTACATAAGATGTACATGTAGCATGATGGTAACAAAAATTATAAGAAAATATTCCATTCCAAAATTCAAAACGATAAAATTTAATTATGAAATAATTAATAGTATAATCTCGATTAATTAATCATTAGCGTTGACCAGATGGAGACGTAATCTTCTTGTCGTGTGACACGTGGCACCATATCGTATGAGGAAGCTTCATAGCTATACAATCTTGAAAAAGATTATTTACAAGGTTAGAGGCAGGTTAGGATTTAGAAACGACTACTAAACTTCATTTGTGACAGTGCCGTTTCATTAAATTATTTCTCTCTAAATGACCAGAAACAGTAATTGAAGTTAGGCAATCGACGAGGATTATTACTTGTAACCAAATCACTTATTAATCTATTATTAAGTATAATCGAAAATATTGACGTGCACAAATCCCAGATATCGTGTGGTGTGAGATCCACAGAATCACAGTATGATCGACCAAATGGATATGAAATATTGACAATTGGATTGCGATATACTTATGATTGAGAGACAAGAGAGCACATAATATTCACCCACATGCAGATGCAATTCTTTGCTTCTAACTTGGCCCAAACTCTCATGACATGCTTCCTCCTACTTTTAATTTTTTTTTCTTATTGAAAACTAATCTCAGCGTTAAAGGTAGGAGAAGGGCAATCGTTCATTCTTAAAATCACCGCTCTTAAGATGAAAGAGTCGGATGGAAAGAGAGGATGGCTCATGAACATTTCGATTGTTATGAAAAATGAAATCAATTTACTCAGTATCTGACTAAAAAGTAACAAAGTGAGCTCATGAGCCACTTGATAGCCCCATAGCTCACTTTACGAGATAGAACTACAATATCGACAAAATAGACACATTAGGATCTAAACAAAAATAAAAAAGTACATTGTAACTTTTTTCAATTTTCTTGAAATTCTTACTACTGTTAATCTAGAAAAATATAATCACTTTTCTCATAAACTATAATTAATATAAAATGCGCAATCTAATCCCATATTTTCTAGGATCAAGCTCGAGAATTCATCAGGGGAAATGAAAGCTGAATTTGTTTGGATCCTCTCACACATTCAGGGCCTGTTCGGTATAACTTAAAATTCCATTAAAATTGAAAATATGGTCGTTATTGGCTCCCACTCGTCTAATAAAAGTCAACAATAACGGTTAGTTTTTCAATTTTAATCCAATTTTAATCTCTGCCGAACACGTTCTCAATCTTTTTTTAGGGATAATGTAGGTTGTTCCATCCACATCTATTTAATTCGTTATTCCATTCTGGCTTCTTTTAGTCGAATCTTCGTTCTATGTAGTTGATAGGGCCCCCAATTTGACTCACTTCTCTTTCCTTCTTATTTATTTATTTTTAAAAAAATATGATGAAAAATAAATTCTAATGGATTTTCGAACATAAAACTGTTATTAAATAAAAAATGTGTTAGCTAATGGAAAGTTTAAGGATAAGAATCACTTGAAAATCATTTGGGACATAAGTATTATAAATGTGATGAATTTTAATAAAAGTTAATAAAATACGTGGTTAAGAAGCCATGAATTCCATAAAACGTAGTATTAAATCTAAAGGTTAAATTTGAGTTGGGAAACAAAAACTGCACAAGAAATTATTTGATCATAGCTGTCAAATCAACACAAGTACCAAATGACGCCAGGACTAAGTTCACATACCACAAGAGGCTTGATTAAGATTGGAAGACAAGATCCGATTTCACCGGTAATGCTCCAACACCGCCAAACTATCTCCATATTTAGAATGCCCTAATCATATATCCTATCACACAACTAATTTGTACTAAGAGCTCGTTTGGTAGATATTAAAATTGAATTAAAATTGAAAACTAGTCGTTATTGTTGACTTTTATTAGATGAGTGGTGCCTAATAACGACTTTATTTTCAATTTTAATTGAATTTTAATCGATACCAAACATGCTCTAAATTATAAATGAAGCAAGCCTAAATTTCCAGAGAAAGTTCCACTACTTGTTCAGATGATATATAATATTAAATTTATTTAAAATAAACTTTAATTTGCTATTTGTTGAATCGATGTATTTAATAACGAGTTTAGTAAAACCAGACAAATCAATAACAAATTTTATTACACAAAAAAGGCTCAATAATCCTTAGATGATGAAGGCGGCGATCGCCAATGGTTGGTAAGTATCCAGTACTTTACAATAGTTCCATCATCAGATAAAATTATTTTACACTAAAAAATTACACTCGATATACCTTTCAGATTATCGGAGGTAATTTTGATAACGCAAGCAACCCACGTCCACCAAAAGTCACACAATGAATCAATGGGATAGCATTAAATAACTCTCGCCGTTAAAAATTTGTCGACAACACGCCATTATGAAAACCAAATACAAAATTGCTAAAGAGAGCCTCAAAATACAAAAAATCATTAAGAACCTAAAATAAATTAAAATCCATATTTTTCCTCTTTTATTTTTATTTTTCATTGTAATATTTACATTTCCCATATCAACCCCAATATTTCAAAAAAAAAATACTACAAACCCGTAGTAATCGGCGAATACTCGCCGTAGAAGTCCGAAATTCCGGCGGCCGCCCATAGCCTCTCATTGAATGCCTCTTGCATGTCCTCCGGTATAAACTGCGTCCGGCAGAGTGGACATGTCTTCTGATCATGGTCCATCCAACGGTCCAGGCAGCTCCGGTGGAATATATGTCGGCAATTCGTCAGCCGTCGGATCTCATCATCGCCGTTAAACTCATACAAACAAACCGCACAGTTTTCCGGTGGATCCAATACGACCAAGTCGGAGAACTTCACCACTGGCAGAAGCTCTCGGATCAGCACAGCTGACACGGACCGGGGCTCCGGTTCTGGATCAGTCTGGGTCGGGTACGCCATTTCGGGCTCAAGGAAATCACTGAGGCCCAGTAAAGAAAACACTGCACAAATTGATTTTCGAATGAACCCCATGATTGTTAGTAGGTAAACCAACAGTTTTGGCAGAAAAATATCAGTGTATCCCACCGGAAATCCCATTTAAATTTTGTATTGAGCTTGAATTCGTGTGGATGTAGATGTTTGGTAGCACTGTTAGTGCGTGTACTGTGTGTAAAATGGGAGAGATAATCGTGAAGCTCTGGTACACACAGGGGGGAGAAAAAGGCTGGGAGAGATGGGCGGAATATATAGAGATAGATAGATGTAGCAAATTACGAAAATAGGTATGAGATTAGATAAAATGGCATTTTGTACTCCTATAAAAAATTATTATATTATTTTAAAGAAATTATGTTCGAGTAAGTACAAATATGTGACGAGTTTGGGAATCTATCCATCAATTATGCTACATGTACATTATTTTTTATATTACTGTTTATATCGTGTCATGTGAAAATATACTATTGGACAGTTAAAAAAAATATTTTTTTTGCCCACAATTTTTTGAAAACAAAAAAGATATAAACCATGATATAAGAGAGATTTTACATTTATCATTATTGATCTATCCATAACTTGTAGGATTTCAATAATACCTTATTTTTCATTTTTCAGTATGTAATAAATACAAATTACGTGTTATTAATTCTCAATTAATTAACATTAACATTAATCTAGATTCAATGAATTTTGACTTGATAAATCTTGATATGTATTAATTTAGAGTTATTATAAATGAATTTATTTATATTCATATATTTAAGTATGTTAATGGGTGATTAAATTCATTTATTAACAATTAATTCTTATGTACCAATATAAAAGTGTTGTTCTCATTTGTAGTATTTCATCATCACAAAAAAATTGAATCATAAAAGTTAAGTTTTGAGAGTATAATTTTCTTCTCTTAAATTTCTATCATAAATTTTATTTTCTTTAATTCGTTTGAGGCTCATTAAATCATTCCAATATAATGATATCAAATATTATTTTTACAATACTTAGAAAATATTTCATAATAACGTGCAATGAACGTTCAACTGTGACTAGTAATAAGTAAATATGATATTCCTTTACTTTCACTTCAATTATTAAATTAAGAAATATGAATTTATCATTAGAAGTAAAGTTGACTAACTCAAAAGTTTCACGTCATTTATGTTGTTATTGAATAAGAAGGGAAAACCAATGAATCTTTCTTGAAGAGTTATGATCCTCATATTCGAAGTTGCCCAAATCATTCATGCTTGAGATCTGAACCTTTTTTTCTCCTTCGAGAAAAAAGATTATGCGTGTTTACCCTAATTTATAATTAATCAAGTCACTTTTTATTTACACATTAAATGAGATTCACAAGTACTATCTAATGATTCATCGTTCATTTCTATTTATTTATAATTTAAACTTATTATAAACACTCATTATCTTAATAAAAAGTAGAAGATAAGACAAATAAATATTTATACTCAATATTCATTATTGTATACACATACAAATATGTAAAACACGATTCTTTAAGGCAAAATTCAGCAACCTAGATCAATCAGAAATCAGTTGAACTGGAGCCTTTATTCCAACTATTTTTGCGGTTGATTTCGGTTGGAATCTTCAACTATATGGAGTCTTAGTTAGTTAGGTAATTAATAACTATTTTTGATACAATCTTTGTGTCTATAAAAACCTGCATTAGGAGTGGTGAAAGGGTGCAACTCGAGAATGTGAGAAATTCTGTAATTTTGTAGTAGGAAGTGGAGATTGGTGAGAAAGATCTGAAATTCTTCCACTAATTCATATTATCTTTTTATATATAAAAAGTGTCTATTTAACGGAATTTGTTGGTTTAACGGAAAAACTAACGGAATTTGTTATTTTAATGGATTATGTAACATAATTTCTTGTTTTAAACAAGCAGCCGCACCTTCATTCAGTGTTTTTATCATAACTTTGTATTTCGATGTTCAATTGAGGCGATTCAAAATGCGTTGGAAAGCTAACCCATCTGGCTACACCTTTGATTCAGACATCATTCTCCAATTCGATCACTTTCTATACCAAAAATATGTCTCAATATAACGAATTATGTAACGAAATTTTTTGTTTTAAACAGGCAGCTGCACCTTCCTTCAGTATTTTTATCATAACTTTATATTTCGATATCCGATTGAGGCAATTCAAAATGCGTTGGAAAGCTAACTCATCTGGATACAACTTTGATTCAGACATTATTCTCCAATTGGATCACTTTCTATGCCAAAAATAGGTCTCAATATAATGGAC